CATGGCACCAACGTGGAGCCACCGGCATTTATCCGAAATTTTTTGCATGGCACCAACGTGGAGCCACTGGCATTTACCCGATATTTTTCAAAGTAGAAATGACACTTTTAAAAAAGAATATTATTCTTAATTACTATTATTAACAACTACTCGTCTTATCAACTAACAACGAAATACAAATCCCATGATGATAAAAACTCGAGTCTCGTCGTTCTCGAACTCTAGGTGATAGTCTAACGATTTCAAAACGTAAAACTTATCTTATCTTACTATATCATATTCCTGTCGTCCCGTTTCTCGCATAGATTTTCCGTTCATGTCTGACGTTCTATTACTATCGAAGGAAAGATCGACGTGTACAGATATTAGTAGTTAGACCGAATAATATCGCGATGATTTCTCCCTACTACGAAATGATTGGCACGCGTTCCTGTTAAAGCTCGCAGAGTTATTCGCGTTTCCCCGGTACGCCAACGAAACTCTGACGTGTGACGCGCATGAAAGTCCTCAGAGACGCCTCATTCAATTAGTCACTCAGTTACTCGCATCACATCGCATTTATCCCGTCAGTTTCTACGAGAGAAAGAGAAGAGAAAGAGAGAGAGGGAGAGAGAGAGAAAATAAGAGAATCAGAAGGAGGAGGAGGAGAAGGGGGTGTACATTGTGTGAACTTGTCGCTGTTTCTCTGTGGCTCACGAATTCGTGACACGAACTTTCGACTTCTGGGTTTAGACTTCTCTCCCTCTCTCTCTCTTTCTCTCTCTTTCTTTTTCATAACGACAAAGATACGTAGAAGACATCATCCCGCGGAACGATTTCAGTTCTCCCTTCTTCTTTCCTTTCCTTTCCTTTCCACGAGATATTACTTCGGCTTCAGTCTAGGTAGCTCAACTTCGAAATAAGTTTATTTCGTTCGCCACCCCTATCCTTCTCATCTAGCTAGCTAGCTAGCTAGCCAGAAGAGATTCTATAAAAGCTTAGGAGAAGAAAGAGGAACGAAGCAATCACGCTTGGAGTAATAAGATTTTCCTTGGAAACGAAAGGAAAGGGAAAATGCGACGAATACTACGATAACGTAAGATCTTTTCCTAATGTATTTGTTAGATACTACGAACAAATTACGTATACACCAGAGATGGATAGATAAGGGTAAAGATTGCGATGGAAAAGAGATTGAGAAAGAAAGAAGTAAAGAAAAGAAGAAAGAGAGAACGAGGGATAAGGGAGGACAAGGAACGGGTAAATTCTGCAAGGGGGTAGTAGTTGGGGGTTGTACCATGTACGCGGAAGTTGCGGCGAATTCGGTGGCTGGTCGCAAACTCGGCGAAAGGCCGAAACCGCCAACGCCGTCGAATTACTCGTCGTGGGGTAGGTCCCATGGGGGATGAACTTGTCCGCGACAATTTCAAACTTATTTTAACATTCATATAAGTCTTGCGCCCTAGCAAAAGCAGCATAGCCCAGCAGCATAGCCCAGCAGCATCGTCTCAGTTATATGCGTGTACGTATATGTGCATATAGCGTGTGTGTATGTGTCTGCTAACGCGTGTTTCCCTTTCGTCGTGTAACTCGAGAACCAACCAACCCCTTTTCTTTCTCTTTCTATATACCTGTCTATCCATCTATCCATCTATCTATCCATCTCTCTTTTCTGTAAGAACGTGCAAGCATAAGGGTAACGAAGGATTTACATAAGATTATGCGTAAGCCTTCGTTGCCTTCTTCTTCTCCTCTTCCTCCTCCTCCTCGTCGAAAAGGGATCGTTGAGATAGCGAAGCGAAGCGACGAAACGGCACTCAAGGGTGCGCTCGTCTTCGACTGATAATTAGAATAAAGTGAGTTTATATGACGCGTCGAGTGGCATCACGTAAAGATGACGCCAGACGTTCATGATAAAAGGGACGAAAGATCTTTCCTTGTCTCTTCTCTTATTTCATACGTGATATTATCGCGTTTTTTTTTCCCCCTTGGAAAGGGAAAATTCCCCAAGATAAATTTACCTACGTTGGATGATCGAAGAAAATATTGATGGTACCATCGTAAAAATTTTAATATACTGTTGTAGTAAGTATTACATATTTCTTTTTATTATTATTCTTATTCTTTTGCCTTTTTTTTTCTTTTTCTTTTCTTCTTATTCGGACACGAGAAATTTATTATTTTTCTCCAGAGCTCGCGTACACTTTGTTAAATTTCGCCTACACCTAAGGATTATCCGTTTGGTATTCATAGTCTGCACGGAAAATTTCTTCCTAGACCGCGATAAAGGTTTATGCGTCCCATAAACTTAAGTCGAATATATTTTTTCTATGTTAATTTCAACCACTCTCTGTGCAGTGGTTTAACTCATATAGACGGGGATCATCCCCCTTTCTATGCCTAAGGCTTATTTCATTCGATATCTTTCGTTTTTATTTGTATTTTAGTTCGTTTAATCGATCATCTTATATCGTTCTTTTATTTTTTATTCTTTTTTTTCTGAATAAATTTTTGTGATTATTTTTAAACAAAATGTTTTAATAAATTTGGATAACTTTGAATGATTCAAAGAAGATATAATATACCTGTAGAGTAGATAAGTTCTATGAATAAACACAGAGGACACTGATTGAAATTTCGAATAGTTCAGTCATCTTTCGCACAAATACTGAACTTTTCCTTCTTAAAGAAAACTACTTTTACCATCGATAAATAACACGTATCGTGTACAGACGGTAAGTTAGAAATCTTAAATATCACGTACTCCGTAGACTCAATCTTTTGATTGTTTAAATAAAAAAATCAATCAAAAGAAAATCGTTTATCATACAAACCTGACAAATGTCAATTTTCTCGATTTCCTTAACCAAATTATTAAGTGATATTAAATTCAAATTTAAATTTAAATTTCGAATTAAAAAATATTTCATTAAAAAAAATAGAACATGTTGCGTTCGCGTTTAGGGACGTTTGTTCGAAACGATATCTCCAAAATTCAATTAATTAATTCGACTAATCTTCTTCATACCTCATCGTGTCACGAATTTAAAAGATTGACGAAAAGAAGAGACGACAAATCTTGCGATATTCCTAAAATCGCTATAGTGAGTATGTTAAACATTTTAATTTCATAATGTTAACTTCCTGAACATGAAGTTCGTGACTGTTAAATAGAAGATATTAACTAGCTCGATGAAAATAAAAAAATGGGGCACAGAAAAAAAAGAAAAAAAAAAGTACGATTCACGATAAGATCTTGTAAGAGACTGACACGTTAAATAGAAGATATCTTTCGAATCAGCTTAGGTTCGCATGCAAACGAAAAAGTATATCGGTTATGCACTTTCGCATAGTGATGTAACAACCACCACTATGTTTTCTCGACGCCCCGAGCCAGAAACTGTTAACGTTTCCCTTTATATAGCTATACTACAAGAAAACGTATCCGAGGTACGCGCGAAAGTCATTACGAGGGAGGCAATTAATTATTTACCTTTATCTAACATTTGTAATCTAACATGAAACGGTAAAAATCAATATCGAAATAAAGAAAATCAAATGAAATGTAAACGAAAGAAATATTACGAAAAAATAAAAAAGAAAGAAAAAAGGATATCGTCGAAAGCAACCATTTTCGGATCTTATATTCGAAAATCAGTAACAGTGTTGTATTTTATAAAAAAGATATTTGATTTGATTTGAATTCAGATACTTTCGGGTTGCGGTAATCTAGACGGCACGGAAATATCCGAATGCATGTCAGCAACGTTTCACATATGCGAGAAAGGAATGATTCCAAAGTTTTATGCACCGGACATGGACATATGCGAGGTTATCGATCATTACACGAAAGAACCCGATTGTAATTCTCCTCCAAGAAACGCATTAGTCGAATCTGCTAGATTATCTCGTTTTTCTATTCAACCGTTATGCGAATGCGAAGCTTGTCATCACGCTGGTTTAGTACTTCCAGGAGGATTCGGTGCTGTTCGGACATTGTCAGTGCTTATTTTCCATCTGTTTAATCATTACTTTATCATTTTTCCTCATATTTTGATTATATTTTATTTGATATTTCATATACCATACCATATCATACCCCGTAGAAGCGATTTTGCAAGCAAAGGATGCGACTGTACAGTGATACCTGATTTAGAAAAATTGATTCAAGATTTTTCCTGCGGAAAAAAACCGATAGGTGCCATATGCATAACAAGTGTTCTACTTGCTCGAGTTTTACAAGGCGTTAAAATAACACTCGGTAAAGATTGTAAGTATAATATTGTGTATAACAATTTAAAAAATAATCTTACACTTTATTTTACTTATCCTCCAAATTCCATGTTTTATTTATTAACGAATGAGTACTATTACGAAAAATGTAGGCTCGCAGGATGACTGGCCGTACGCGGAAGCGATTAGCATAGCAAAACAGATGGGTGCGAAGGTGGAGATGAAGGATGTGAAGGGGGTTACCAGGTGTAAAAAGTACAACGTTTTCAGTACTCCTGCATGGATGTACAAACGTGGAACGTATGCGGAAATAAATGCTGGCATCGGGAAACTCATCACGATGTTGAAGAAGTGCATTCGACAGTGAAAGTTTACAAGTGATGGAAAGTTGCTCGATACGGTCGACAATTCAGATTTGTCTGTTTTCCTTTTTTCTTTTTCTTATCACATAGTATATAAATACACATATACATACATATATATATTTTTGATGGTGTACAATGAACGTAATAAAGTAGAAGAAGAAAGGGAAGAACGATAAACACGAATTTGACGAATATATTATACATCATACATATATTTTATGTTACTTCTTTTTCCTTATAGATTAATAAACCTAACACGATAAAACCTAATTACAATAGTCAACAACAAAATGATATAACAATGCGTTAGAGAGATCTGCGACGAATAATCGTGCAAATCAAATTCGCCGGGAATTTCGTCCTCGATGATGAACAGAGGAAATCGTCGCTTTCCTGATTTCCTGACGCGTCATGCGATCGATCATACTTGAGATGATATAATAATAATAATAATGATATAAAAGAAAGAAAGAAACAAATAAATTTCTAGGAAGGTCCGGGAATGTAAAAAAAAGAAAAGAAAAAAATGGTCGCATAATAATAATAATAATAATAATAATATGAATAATAATACTAATAATAATTCAAATTACTTTCGTAGATCAAAGACGATCGTAAGAGAATCGGGCAGTCTTTAGTGGTTAAATCATTTTCTCTTGTTCTTTTTTCTTATTACTTTTTCTTATCATTTTTGCTTATTTTTAAACTTAAATTTCGATTTACCAATCAATACACTCTAACGTAAAATACGTGTAATAATAATAATATTACGACACAATTACTTATATTACAATCAAATTATCTTAAATCTTAAATGAAACGAGGCAAACTTACACGTCAAACTTATATTTAAGTACGATACTTAAAATATAAAAGGATCAAACTTATAATTAGCGAATAACACGTATGACGCATGGGAGGACATTACAAAAAAAAGCTAAGCTCGTATTAAAACCAACCGACCTGGTTGCGTATCGAACACAATGCAGAGTGCATTTTATTGCATTTTGCAGCACCGTGGAAAGTGGATTGAGGTAACATGCAAATAAATCGTTGATGGTTTTTGTGCAGTAGGAGAACAGTCACGAGCAGTACAACGATAAGTCGCGTGCGTTTGTCTGTCTGTCTATCCGTCCATTCGTCTGTCCGTTTGTCCTGGACTTGTGTATACTCTCAAAGTATTATCTAGTATAAAGAACGAACGTTCGAAACAAGCTCGTGTCGTCGTTCACCGTTTACTCGTTTACTCGTTCCGGTATTCAGGCCTACTCGAGCGTAACGAAAGTGCATGCGCCACTTTCGCACGATCAATTTGGCGCGTGCCCATGAATCGGTAGGTGATGATGATGATGACGATGATAATAATAATAATACTAATCGTTAGCTTTCATCATTGGATGACATCTCTCCAATAATTTCACACGTATACGCAATATTACGACATCATTCCTATTAATTATTTATATCTAATTAATGTGTGAATACACCTAATACTTTAACTATTAACACTATGCCGTCCGCACGTCTAATTTAGATTTTTATTTATTAATTTTTTCGCATGGCACCAACGTGGAGCCACCGGCATTTACCCGAAA